GTCTCGGCAGAAAACATCGCTTTGCGATAGGTGGAGAGACGCTGCAACATGTAAAGAAATTTGTCTACTTAGGACAGGTAGTAATAGCGAAGCTGGACCATGAGAATGCAATATCTAAAAGTATAAAGGTGGAATGGTTAATATTCGGCAAGCATACTAGAACCATGAATGGTAATCAACCACTAAAACTCAAAAAGAAGGTATATAACAGCTGCATATTGCCGGTACTTATCTACAGAGCAGAAGCCACGAGGGTTACAGAGAGCGTTCAGCCTAAATTGACGACGACGCTTCGAGCGATGGAAATGAAAACGATAGGTGTAACCTTAAGAGACAAGAAGAGAGAAGAGCAAGTCAGGTAACAAACCGGGGTTAAGGATATTATAATTGAAATCAAGAAGAAGGAATGGACATAGGCCGGGCACGTAGTACGTAGGGCGTATACCCACTGGTCATGAAGGGTAACTGACTGGATTCCCAGAGACGGCAAACGCACGAAAGGGAGACAAGTTAGGGGAGCCGATGAGATGAAAAAGTTTGCAGGTTTAACGTGGCAACGGAAAGCACAAGACCAGGTTGAGTGGCGGATCATGGGAGAGGTCTTTGTCCAGCAGTGGGCGCAGTCAGGCTGGTAGTGATGATGATGAATTCTGTGCAACATTTATCAGCTGTAAATTGAGTAATCCAGTGAATTACTTCGAGGGAGTACTTTCAAGAAAATTGCAGATTTCATTGCATTTACGTTTTAGTAAAATACAGCATATATGCGTATCTTGTGTAAAACAAATTGACCAAAGCAAGCAAAGAAAAATAGCAAGGAAATATGAGTGCCAAACCTCAAGCGTGGGAAGAGCCCTGAGATATCAACGTAGTACATGTGCCTTAATTACAGTGTACATCAGTTATGCAAGAATGAATAACATTTGTTGATCATTCTTCCAAACGTACTCTGACTTTTGAAATTTATGCCGAAGTCTCTACACGTGACGTCACGAATTTCGATGTGACGTACTTTTGCGACATTGGCCGACGAAGCTTTCTGAAACTTGGTACGTTCTGTCTAAGGTCTTATGAGAGCGCAATGTAGTTCTCGTCTACTTATTACGAACGACGTACGATTTAGTAAAGCTGTGACGTCACTGTGAGTGGTGCGAAAAATAAAGGTGGTGTTGACACCCGTATTTTTTTCTAGCGCATTTTTTCCTTCAACAAGAATCCAGTCACTGCAAGCTTGGAAACTTTGGTATTGAGAAGGTAATCTTCTGATATAATGATCGTTTTTTTTAATACCCTTTTAGGCTTTGCCTGGTTTCTAGAAAAGGGAAGTCAGGGCGCTATATAGGTAACTTAAATTCCTAAAAAGAGGGAGTTTTGTATATTCTCTTTTGTAGTCAAAATCATACCTTGTCTTTTTTACTGATGCTTTCCTACCCACAAAGAGCTCATACTTTTTTACAGCCCTCGCAGCTGTACTTCGTATCGGCCACGACCATCGCTGCAGCTATGGCCGAGTCGACGCTGGCGAGGCGCGCTGCACTACACCTGCTTGTCAGGCTCGGACCTGGCACCCTCAGGTCTCTGCGAATCATTTTATCGAATAAGTTTGCCTGAACTCTTGCTGTTGAGCCAGACCTACCTACCTACCTACCTACCTACCTACCTACCTACCTACCTACCTACCTACCTACCTACCTACCTACCTACCTACCTGCGTGCCTACCTACCTACCTACCTGCGTGCCTACCTACCTACCTACCTACCTACCTACCTACCTACCTACCTACCTACCTACCTGCCTGCCTGCCTGCCTACCTGCCTGCCTATCTATCTATCTATCTATCTATCTATCTATCTATCTATCTATCTATCTCCCTTAAGGCAGAACAATGGACAATAACCACTCAGCTACCACTGGGCATGCCCCGCCACGGTGGTCTAGTGGCTAAGGTACTCGGCTGCTGACTCGCAGGTCGCGGGATCAAATCCCGTCTGCGGCGCCTGCACTTCCGATGGAGGCGGAAATGTTGTAGGCCCGTGTGCTCAGATTTGGGTGCACGTTAAAGAACCCCTGGAGGTCGAAAATTCCGGAGTCCTCCCCTACGGCGTCTATCATAATCATATGGTTGTTTTCGGACGTTAAACCCTGCGTATCAATCAAAACCTCTGGGCAAACACGTTTAACTTGTTTTACCAATACTTATAGCAGAAAGATCACCCATGCTTTTTTTTTATCCAGTCTGCTGACGGCTGCTGCTCTCGGTAGCGTGCTCCTGTGTTTCGTCTTCCACTCCCTGGTGACGACACTTCTGTTGGTCTCGGTTGTGGATGGTGTGTGCGACGAACTCTGCCTTGTGCTCCTAGATCCCACAATCAAGCGTGAGTCTACGATACTAGGATAGCTCAGCTGGATTGCGTTAAGCTTTAGACGCCGACTCACAAGCATGTTATCGAAGGAGGTACGCATAGAAGACGATGCAATCATCTGGCTTCTACACTCGCAGAACAATCTTGCGCTAGAATTGTTTATAAAAAGACTGTTGTCACCGATCATCCCGGTGCGCATTAGCGATAAAATGGATAACTGGGTAGCCGATATCCTGGAGCATATTAAAAAAATGGACATGGGCAGGCCACTTAATTTGATGTACAGGCAACAGATGGTCGGTTAGGACACTAAAATGAGTACTGTGACATGTTGATGACGATGACATTGATGATAAACGGTGCTCTTTTGCACGTTCGATAAGAAGCACCAGTTCGCAATATATATAATGTGATCAGTTATGGCGACTAGAGGCTTATGTGGTACCACGATAAGCGCGATACTGAATGACAAACAGTTAGGTGCAGGGTCAAAATTATTTATACGGTACGTCATAATGGAACTAGACCGTGCAGTACAGGTTGTGTTGGGAATTATTGAGACATGGGGTGTGTTCCAATACTCACCGTAGACCGCTAAGTAGACGGCTAAATTGACGATGGTCATCTTAAGTCCCATTCAATTCTCACGTAGCCGGGAAAATAGACAGCTCCGAGCAGACTGCATTGTAGACAAATACGATGCACGCTACTTTGCTGTCTCAACAAGATGTCGGCTCAACGAATCGCTCAGATCAGCTCAGATAGATCGGATCTCGCCGGTATAGTCGGTCCAGTAGCTCAATGCAAGTAACGCTTAATTTTTTCAGATTTTAATGCGAAATAAACCAGAAATTAGTGCTGTTACGTTTGTTTATTTTGGCTTTCTCTTCTCGACGCGAGGTGGCGCCTCGTCGCGTAACAGCCGTCTAAACGTTTTCCAATTCTCGGACAGCATGGGCTCGGTGCTGTCTTCTAAGCAGTCTGCGTTGACTGTCTATGTGCTGTCTATGAATTGGAACACAGCAATGGTCTCGTCTTGCAGCGGAAATAAGACAGGCTGATGATGATGGCTATCGAAGGAAACGCTTTTTAAAGACAATAGTCTTTCTTGGGGACCTTTGACGCAAAAAAGTTAGTCTGTCTGTCTGTTTGTCCACTCTTACCGACATCTGGTGCTTGAAACGGCCGACTCCATCCGCAGCGACCACCAATGTTGCTCAAAGTTGAGCGTTCATGCTTGTGCAATTGTCAAATAAAAAGCAAATATTGCGCATTTTTGTGGCGCCATAACAACACGCATATATTCTGCATATGCATCTCTTACTAGAAAACGCGTACATAAGTAATTTTAAGGACCGTAGCGCTTATCACACTGCGCTTACCATGCAACACTTGCAACACTTGCACGGAACGGGGAGTGTTTCCAACGCTTTGCTAAGACGAGGTGGTGATGGAACCTACTCGTCGCCTCGCGTTCTACAGCTTATCACCTCTGAGACGGGCGCGCACGGCCACGCGCTTTGCTTTCCAAAAGAAACTGCCAGATGTCGCTCATGTCTCACGTGTGACGTGACTTGATGCGCTCGTTCACCTCCGCTGCACGCTCGACGCACTCTAACGCAGCGCCTCCGGAATACCATTCACCGATTTTCTTACGCAGAACATCAGATGTTTTGTTCACTCTCTCGACACGCAAGACTATCGTCTTTCGACGACATTTGCAGATTACATGCAGATACGGGGCCAATTTCTTTTAGGGGCGAAGCTCCTTAGGGCGTGGGCTGTGCGTCCCCTGTAGCCTGTATGTAGCCACCTCTAGTTTAGTTCTTGCAGTGTTCACTAGATGGCGGTACCGTCCCCTGTATGTAGCCACCTCTAGTTTAGTTCTTGCAGTGTTCACTAGATGGCGGTACCGTCCCCTGTATGTAGCCACCTCTAGTTTAGTTCTTGCAGTGTTCACTAGATGGCGGTACCGTCTCCTGTATGTAGCCACCTCTCGTTTAGTTCTTGTAGTGTTTACTAGATGGTGGTACTTGTAGCTGATGATGAAAAGATGCAAGATGTTATAAACTAGAAAGCGGTACTTGTAGTTGATGAAAGACGCGAGATCTTATAAAATAGGAATGATGTCACATATGGCGCGTGTCATTGGTTGAAGGCAATCGTTCGATTTAGTGCGGCGACGTGCGCTAGGGGGAGCGTTGTAATAAAATCCGTTCGCTGTTGGCGCGCGCTCGGAGTCGCCGGATGGATAAGGCTGCACAGCGGAGAGAGCGCAAGGCGGCAGCAGCGCGCGCTCGCAGACAGAATCCCGATGTGCGAGCGCGCGAGGCAAGGGACATCGCAAGCCATCCATCGTCTAAGAACAAATAAAAGTTGATTTGTGTATATACACACACAGCGTTTCTCACGTCTTTACATGATGATCGACTGGGCGAATTACACGGAAGATTCACAGTTTACCGATGAATCCCTCCGGAGCTTCGCCCATTTATCATCATTCACCCCGTGAATATGCCGTAATTTTTTTCTAACAAGAGGTGCTCGGTGTTTTGCGACCTAGTACTAAACAGAGACTACGGAAATGGAAAGCGCCATTTTTATGTCCAGCGTTGCCCGATACCAGGAGCGACATGATGGCTGAACCAACGCGCGCCGAGAAGGCACCCACGACGGAGACGACGCGAGCAGGCAGCATCGACACCCAGAGGGCTTCCGTCACGGACAAGTCGGTTCAGGAAGCTGCCGCCATCCAGCATCCGCCATCCTTGAACACCCTTGAGGTATTCGGAACAATCGACGATCCCGCAGGCGTGCACATAGTTGTCCATCAAATGATACTCGGAGTTCGGTGGCACGTCAGTTTATTCGTAGTAGCACTAACGAGGTTGTAGTGGGGGGGGGGGGGCAAATTTTACCGTAATGCCTTGCTCCTGCATCTGGTGGTCGAGTACAAAATTAGACAAGCTTAACAATAGAGTGAGAATTGAAGATGAGGTGATGACGGGCTTCCCACAACAGCCAGCCTTCGGTGCCCGGCTTTCGGCAGTTAAAGTGTGATATGAAGACCCTTTAAAAAAAAAGACCGAAAGACGAGCTTGTTGGTGCGAATAAAGCTTGCGAACTTTTGTGTGCGAACTAAGACAGGACAACACGCTCGTGTCGTTTCCTCCCTTTTTATGCCAGCACTAATTCGGGCTCGAAAGTTCCTATGTTCTTAGAATTTAGCCCCAGAGGCTCCCAGCCGTCAAAAGGTTTAAAAATCTGCGTCATGTTAACTCAGTAGGATGAACGGTGAAAGGCTACGTTTGACTGAATAAGAGTATAGAGCTGCCTTAGTATCCCTCTTTGGATGATTAAGGAGGGTCGAGGAAGGCACCCCTCATGCGCTCGCCTGTGAACAAGCCTGTCGCCATGCTAACAACGAGGGTATGGTTAGCACTGCTACAGGAAGTTGAATAAAGGTGACTTCGCCGGTAGAGTAAGGCCAAAAGAAAGGCTTTAATGACTCGTACGACAAAGCACTTCCATATCTCGCAAACTTTCGGTTCACCACACCAGGAACAAACTCTCCTCTCGTGCCCACACTTCATTCTCTTCTTCTTTCTTGACATACACATACTGCGGTGGCTGCATTTTAGATGGAGGCGAGAATGCTGTAGGGATGTGTACTCAGATTCGGGTGCACGCTGGCCCCGCAGTGGTGGTCTAGTGGCTAAAATACTCGCCTGCTGACCCGAAGGTCGCGGGATCAAATCCCGGCATCGGCTGCTGCATTTCCGATGGAGGCGGAAATGTTGTAGGCCCGTGTGCTCTGATTTGAGGGCATGTTAAAGAACCCCAGGTGGTGGAAATTTCCGGAGCCCTCCACTATGGCGTCTCTTATAATCATGCGGTGGTTTTGGGACGTTAAACCACACATATCAATCAATTGACACACATATTGAACAACATTTAACACAATCTAATCCCTAAGTCACGAAGCGCGAGGGTGAGATAACCGTTGGACATTAAGGATCACAGAATGGATTCTAAGAGAAGGCAAGTGGGTGAAGGGTTGATTGAAATGTGGGGTTTACCGTCCCAAAACCACCATGTGATTGAGATACGCCGTAGTGGAGGGCTTTGGAAATTTCGACCACCTGGAGATCTTTAATGAAATGGAATGGGAAAACTTTATTTTGGAGATCTTTGACATGAACCCAAATCTGAGCACACAGGTACACAGCATTTTCGTCCGCATCGAAAATGCAGCTGCCACAGCCGAGATTCGATCCAGTAAACTGCGGGTCAGCAGCCGACCGAGTACCTTAGCCACAAGACCACCGCGGCGGGGCAGCGGGAAACAAAGGTAGGTGGGCAGGTGAGGTTAGGAAGTTCGCGGGTATAAAATGGCAGCACCAAGCACAGGACAGACTTGGGCGGCGGAATATGGGAGAAGCCTTTGTCCTGCAGTGGGCGTAGTCAGGCTGATGATGATAACAATGATGCCAATGGCCTAAAATTAGTTCGGGGGGGGGGGGGGGGGGCGCACGGGCCTGTAGTGCTACTCCTTGGCTACACCCGGCCCTGATGTGGCCACGATAGTTTAGCACTTGTGACCTGGTCTGATCTCCAAAACTGCAGCATCGCATGACTCCAAAAGCATGAACGGCCACTAAAAGGATCGTGTGAAACTTGCGCTCTTTTGAGAGTGTTTTAGCCAATTCTTGTTCTTCGATGTGGACGTTCTCTCGCCTAATTTATCAAAGCATTGACTTGCGTGAGCTGGCCAGTGTGATAAATCTCTTATCACCTCGAGCCTGGGACGTCCAGAAGTGGGCGAGTGAAGCGCGATACTTGGAGTACGTAGCTGCAGGCGGTGTGGGCGACAGTTACGGCGAGAGCATTCGCAACGCAATTGCGCCATAGAGAAATATTGCACTGTATTTTGTACTCAGTCGTTCCTTCTGTGGTTCAATCAATCAATCAATCAATCAATCAATCAATCAATCAATCAATCAATCAATCAGCGTTTATTCAATGAACTGAATACAAAAGTGGTTACAAAATATTTGGACCATTAGCCTGTGGGGCTAGTTAGCAGCCCAATCTAATACATGAATATGTTTCTCATGTCTGGAGCAGAGGAGCACATGATATGATTATGAATCTTTATACAAGTTTACTGATTGAATAGCTTCAAACATACAATATATATAATGAAACGCAGATGACAATAAATACGAAATTGCTGCTAAGTCCTAAGTACAAAAGTAATAAAAAAGAACTCATGGCATACATTGTGTAAAAAGTAAAAAAGACGGGGCACCGAAATGAATGCACAAAATTTTCGCATAAGGCTGCCTTGAAGAATAAATAACAGTCGTACTTCAATCAGAACCAAGAAGAAAAAAACAACAAGAAAGGGAGAGATATGTACCAGGTGAGACATAACAAATTATGGGCGTGATCTTCACTGTGGTCAAGCAGACGACTGATTGACGAAGTGTATTTTGCAAGTCAAATTAAATTTTCGGGCAAGTTTCTCTTCAGTTGAAATTGTGTTCCAGATGTTTAAGCACCAATGAACTGAATCAACCGTTTGCCATATAGATTTCTACAATTGAAAAGGTTAAAGTTGCCATTGCCTGCACGCCTTGTGTTGCGGGCACGTGCAGACAACGTACTCACGTGTAGTGGAAAGTTGGTGTTAATTGAATTTCTTAACACCGCGGTTTTATAATTTCGCTGAGATGTGAAAGGCAGTATCCGAGTATAGGAAAACAGATCCGAGCTTGTGGTAGAAGACGTAATGATACGTAGGGCACGTTTTTGTAACCGTACGATCGGTTCGATGTAAGTTGGTTAAGTAAAGCGCCATACCTCGCTACAATAACTGATTTGAGAGTAAAATATAGAGAAGTGTAATGATCGAAGCACGTTATATGGAAAGCAACATCTGGCTTTAATGAGCGTGAAGCATTTCCGATTTCTGTTTTAGTCTATATTTGAACCCCCAAATATTTAAACGTGGAAACTCGCTCAGTGGGCGAGTTGTTGATTTCCAAGTGCATATGGCTGTAATCTAGATTTTTTTTTCTCCTGGAATAAAACATAACGTCCTTAGTTTTGCCTATATTTATTGCAAGCTTGTTGCGGGCGAACCATGTGGAAATATGTGATAACTCTGCTGTGACTTGTTCTTTTAGCGAACGGAGATAGTTACCTCAAAAAAGTAATGTGGTGTCATCAGCGTGCATTATGGTTTTAATGAAAGTACAGATGGTAGGTCAATTATGTATAACGAAAATAACGTAGGGCCTAGCACGTTTCCCTGGGGGTTCTCGATATATTGCCGGTGGATCGCTGGCAACCCTTCGTAGCACGCCCCATCAGGCTCTGCAGCCGCATCTTACGGCGAGGCACGTGCAAGCCATTGCTAGCGGTGTTCCGCCAGCGCCAAGAACACCAGACCGAACGGCTGCCTTCCGAAGGCGTCGCAGACGCTTTCGCTGCGACCATTACCGCCGTCAGACACGCGACCCAAGTATCGCGGATTAGCCCACGTGTCTGCGATATGTGCACCTGAACTGGCATGATTGCATCGGGAACCACGGTTCCAATTCCACCATGTAGTAGTGTATATCATTTTTTCTGTGAAGAGTTATGTCGTGCGGACAAAGTCTGGTACTTGTCTATGTATACATTTCGCAAAGCGCTTAATGACGAGAAAAATGAAGATTCGCATCTATTTCGTCAGAATGACTTCATTTCACAGCCACATTACTTATCGCACCGTGTAAACCATCGCTTCCAAGTCGGAAATCAAGCAGGAAATACCAACACCTTCCGCCCTTCCTTTTTTTCCTAAAACATCTTGGCAATAAAGGCACCTTCCCAATTACACATATAGTCACCATCATTGACAAAAAATTTTTTTCGCAAGGTTATAGCTAACATTGTTTAACTAGGTATTCATGACGTCTTGTTATTGTTGTCGTAAAGCTGTATAAACAGGGATAAATGTCATGTTACCTTGTTTGTTCATATTACTAATTGCAAAGCATTTCCTTACTACATTGTATGTACTGCTATTTCTAGTTTATTATTTTATTACACTGTTGAGTTATGTTCTTGTTGTGTTATTTACTACCCGATTTTGTACAATTTCTCGTTCACCACTCTTTGCTGTAATGTCCTGAGGTTTCGAGGGCACAATAAATGAATAGATAAGTAAAATATCAACTAACTAATTAACTAACTAAATAAGTAAATAAAAAGGCGACGGCAAGCGTTGCCAATGACCGGATGCGTTGCTTCAAGCATAAACGCAGTGTATGTCACCCAATAGGAATAATGCAGACGCACGAGCCGATGTCTTTTTGTGGTGTACGTCGCTGCAGGCAACCTGCCCGCTTCCCAGGAGCGGCACTGCCTCTCCAGTGACGCACAACCATCGCGACGAGCATAGCTCTACGCTCTACGTCACGGCCGAAGATAGCGTGCTCTCGGAGAACCATCGCAGCGCTTTTCGACAGCGTATGCGCGAGCAAGCACTGATGCCGGAAGGAAATATGCACGTCATGTGAGTGTACACAAGTAATCGTTGTAGTTGATACGTGTGGTGACACTGCTGACACAGTGACGTGGCTTAAAATTGTGATATTTGGCGGTATTTAACATTCCAATGCACAATTTCATTATGAAAGACGCTGAAGTCACACCTGAGCGCGAGTTTTGCTAGGGCCTCTCCACAATGCCGAAGTGAGCTGCCATGCGATTTTCACGACAGAGATATCACTGATGGGCCTGCTCAGTTACTGAGGCTAAAGTCCGAGAGACCTCACTAAACAGGAAACTTGACTGTCGGTGAGGGCGGCGTCAGCACGATTGATGCTAAACAAATTATGTAAAGATGTCATTATGACGTCACGTATGGCAAAATGCTGTGACGTCGTCACATCCTAACTATGACGCCACAGGATAACGTCATCGCCTGGTCAAATACGGGCCGATCAAGGAGGCAGCCGAAAACCAGGGGAGAGGCAGAACGGTTCTCATGTTACGATTGCGGAGGCGTAGCGAAACCATAGTGGGGGCGTACAAAGTTTTCAGGAGAAGAGGGGTTCAGTATATTGAACGAGAAGAGAAAGAAGAATTCCGTCCATCGAGTCGTCTCAGGCAAAATCATGGGGAGCCTGTGATCCTTTTGACAACATGTCTGAGCGATGAGCCGTCCAAATTATTGGAGCGACATGACATTTTATTCACTGCTATGATGACGCGAATAAAATAACACAGTTATCAGTCCGTGACTGGCACAGAATAGCCTTAGAAAGCCAGTAAGTGCACGGATACGAGTAAAAAAAAAGACGACACACAAACGCTCTGTTCGTCGTCTCGTTGGTCTCGCCGTCGGGCACTTACTGGTTTCATAACGTCACTGTACATCAACTAGTTCAAACCCAGCCTCTGACATAGCTTTAGTCTCTGTGGGGATAGTGAACTCAACTCAACTAGCTGAAATATTACAGTGTCTGGAATCGAAAGCATCAAGAGTGCATAATCAAGGAGCTGATCTACACTTTAAGGAGCAGCGGTTTGTATTGTTCAAGCATTCAGAGCCATTTCTATGTATTTATAAAATCAAGCGTTCCCGAAAGCTCGGACTGGCCGGTGAAGTTACGGTAACCAACAGCATTTCGTACTTGTGATTGTGAAATTAACCTGATTTCTGTGGTTTATTTGGTTTCCTCCGTGTAGACCTACAGATCACGCAAGGTACTAACCGCCACCCTTCATTATTGCGTGTGTGACGTGATTTGCGTAAACGTATATAACCGTAACGAACAGTGGCGTCTCGAAGGCTAATGAAGAAGGCTGAAAGAATGCGAAGCAAGACCACATGGCCTAATTGATGCTCTGCTAAATAAGGTATTCTGCGTTCACTAAAAGGAGGCAGAGCACTAGCACGGGTGTAGATTTTCAAACTATATCAATAGCGTACACATCTTACGCATCACGTATATTACAGCAATAATCTCAGGCAATGTTATAGTCTCAAAATGTTACAGGTGCCATCAACACGTAAAATAATTTAGCTCAAGTGCGTAAGAGAGAGAATCCTGCGCGGTATCAATAGCTTTTCAATATTTTCATTTTTAGTCATAAAGCTGCCGGAGGTGCTCTTTAATATAAGGTAAAGTTCAAGGAATAAAAAGTGCAAGTGTTAGCATGGGCGATAAGAAGCAAGTGTCACGGATCTACCATTCTGTCCAATTTTATTTGTCTACAGGAAGTACCGCCAAAGACTACGCCGCTGCCTCCTTACGATGGTAATCTACGGCTCGACACTGGCTTCGACGGCACAGCTCCACTCTGCGGCCTTCAGCGACCTGCTGGCATTCATGGCTAAGTGAGAAGAAAAGGTCACTTTACCTAACTAATGCACGACACAGAACACGACTACTGTTGTTCAGAAAACAAATCCATTTTGACGAGAATGAAACATTCGAGAATGAATGACGAGAATGGTCGGCGTACTTCTTTTCCTTCATTATGTTTCATCCCGACCAGCCGGGTTCCCGTTATATTTGAAATATAATGACCATTATATTTCTGTTAGCCAGCTGAAAGTACTGCCATAAAAGCAGCCTTAATCGTATACAACTTTGCTTAGCAATGCTGACTTCTTTTGTTTTATTTTGCTGCCACATTTTCAGGGAGTATCCAGAGTACCATGTTCTCGGAAGTTTCACCTTCACGTTCTACTCACTGCCGACCATTCTCCTGTGCTCTCTCTACCTCTGGTGTTGCTTGCTGAGGAGGATAAGGACTGAGCGGTGAGCAGCGTTACCGCCATCTCTGAGATTCCGATATTTCGTCACCATGCACGTGGCTTTGACAGCGTGAGTTATCATCAGTCCCTAATGTCAGCCAATCGTGGGTGCAGATGTGAAGCCACAGAAAAGAATGCAGTTTGAGACAGACTTGAACCCTGGTACGTGGCAGTCTGGTATTTTACCGCAGAGCCAATCCGGTGCTCGGAAGTTTGCAAGAAAGGCCTCCTACAGGCTCCAACCCGGACGAGAAATCACAATATAACGATCAGGGTTTTACGTCCTGACACGCGATACGATTACCAGTGCTTCAGAATAACGACGATGACGACGACGATGACGACGACGACGGCGACAACAACAGTATTAATGATACTATGTGACTTCTCGTTAGCAGCCAGTTAATGTAGTCGTGAATTTGCCAACGAATGTCGTGATATCATTGACAAAAAAAAAACACTCAATTCATGGCCGCTTCTTGCTTACCTCATTACCATTTATGGTGCACAAGTTACTGTTTACATTTTCATTACCTGTCTAAAGTTTTGTAACTTTCATACAGGCGAACCAAACAGCACACCTTAAGTCGAAAGCTTTCAATGTCTCATCCTCATGTGCGACCGTCCATCCGTACGCCCGTGCCCAGATATGTCTGAACCCGTGATGATACAGACCCAGCATTGTGTTCCTGGTTTTATTTCAGAAACTTCATTGTCGTCCTGATGAATACAGTTCGATATTCTGTCATCAGTTAAACACATTATTACAAACAACATATTAATATGGGTATAATATTATGAACGACGATTGTTTAATTAAGGTACGTAGTGCCTATAGTCACTGACAAACGGTACTTCTGAATTGAGCGAGAACTAGCTAGCGCGGATGTTTATCTCATGAGAGGGGCAGGCACACGGGCAAGCGATTCCGTGGCAAGCGCTTCGGAGAGGCGCCCCAAGAATGTGAGTTCCCCGAATACCAAACACAATACCGTTGAATGAGAGACAGAGACAAAGACATGGTAAAGTTGGTTCAATGACTCGAGGCTTTCGCTAAACACACTGCATGGAATTTACTAAGTGTCCTTCATTTTTTTTAAACTTCTTGTTCCGAACAAAACTATCAGCTTTCGCTTTATAAAAAATACTGTCTCCCGTGTGTTACAAGATTGAACGTGTGCTGCTTCTTCAGTCAACACTAGCGAACTCACCCGTTGCTTTCTTCGTGATGGCCACCCTTACAAGTCGTTCTGTGATCGATAAAATGTGATACTGCAAGCATCTGCGGTTTTGCCCTGGAAGTAATGAAGCAAAGCGTCATGTTTTCTGCGCACCTAGTGCGAGTGGTCCGTTAAAGTTGCGTTGCGCGTTTTACAATTCCTTATACGGTTTCTTTCTTTTCGCGTTCTTTCAGTGCGAAGATTCGCCCCGAAGAGCGCAGGCTGCCGACTGGAGTGTTCGAGAACAGGCTAACTCTGCACGGGCCCTGGACGTGAGTCGTTTACGTTTTCTTTGACATTGTTCAAAACTGCACTTACAAACCCGGTTAAGGCACGCAACCTTATCTGCAAAACTATTTGACTCATTCTCCAATTTTCAACAAGTGCCCAATTTCTTAGTTTTTGAGGAATGGTGGTGCTAGCGCTAGAGAGAAAGTCGCTATACTCAAGTTCAGGGTGATTAAATGTTCTTACTAATCGATGCATATCCTTTCGCGTTTCTTCCAAAGTGCTACTGAAGCAATCGCCCGTACGTCCTTTGAAAACGCCTTCCACGATAGCTGCAGAATTTGTGGATCGTTTTAATAATGTCAATTGAGTGCCAGTGTTTTAGCAAAGATGTCACTGCCATAGAGAGCTGTGTGTAAATATTACTTGTTTTCGTGAACTCACCGTTCGACAATTATTTCGTACTAGGCTAGATGGGGCGTTGCTTTTCGGGAAGATTAAACACGCAAGCCGACATGAATGTGGATATATACAGGACAGTCGTAAACTGCCAGCCACATTTGTTCGCCGCTCCGCCAGCAAGTAATTAAAGGAAAAGATACATGCCCAGTATGATTTTAATAGTAATACCACTCATGCTCTGCGGAAACCGATCTACAATTATTACCGAGTAATCACAAGGATTTACTCAAAGAAGCAGCTGCTTCAAGAATTTATACAGTTGAGCCCACTTATAAGGACACCACTTTTAACAAAATATCGGCTATAGCTATCAGAAGCTGCTGCACCATCAAATTTTAGGTGCTCTCTGTGGTTCATTACCCCGCTTACAGCAATGTCACCAGGCCGAATCATCAGTTACAACAATGAATATGGCTGCTGAGTTTCCGCGCCAAAAGGGGTTGGAGCTTGAAATCCTCGAAGAAAAATAAGAAAGCGACAAACTCAGGCTGCTTGACTCCCGCCCACAACTTCAACGGGATCCAGCGCGCCTTCAAACTCGCGGCATGCTTCAGCTCATAGTGTTGTGGCACTGCGACAGCGCTGACTTTCCAAATCCACTACGGCGCGAGAAATGCAGCGGCTTCAGGTCATGCACACTTCGACATACAATTTGAGTAAAAGGCTCAGGCTTGAAAAATTTTCAGCATCCCGAAACTTCAAAAGTTTTCATTTACATTGTCTCTTGGACCTGTGCCGTTCCCGCGAAAGCATCTGAATTTTCAAACATGTCAAAAAAAAAAATCGGCAGCTTTGTCATTCTTAGTAACAGTTATGTCTGTCGGCATGTATTGCAGCTTTTTTCGCAATAAGCTGCCTTCCCCGTATTTTAGTTTTCGTGAAACCCGTTTATAGTAGCTATCCGTTATAACAACAAAATTTTTTGTGGCATTAGAGTATTGTTATCAGGGGGTTCAACTGATTGAAGGGCGGCTTCCTATGTACTCACGTATTTGTACAACTGGTATAATGATACATGTGCACCAGTGATTTCAAACGTAGATTGTATGTTGCATCCACGCAATCATACGTGCTTCTGCGTTCTTTACTTTTCGCATCGCAGTTTCCGGGAACTCTGCACAATGGTAGTGGCTGTGATGGCCTTGGTGGTCTCTTCCATTCCCAAGACAGCGTGGACGTTCGTATTCACCAGAAGGTCGCTGATCACCTTTGTGACTTCTGCGTCGTTATACGTGCGAAAGTTGGTTGCTTTTTTTAACGCCCTAATGCCTGACCCGCTTGGTAACCGCTACTTTCTCATTTAATAATAATTGGTTGAGTCTTGAAGCCACTATATGATTGTGTGAGACGCCGTAGTCGAGGGCTCCGTAAATGTTGACCACGTGGGTTTTTTTTAACGTGCACCTAAATCTAAGCACATGGGCCTCAAACATTTTCGCCTCCATCGAAAACGTGGCCGCCACAGCCGGGACGATCCCGCGACCTGCGGGTCAGGAGTCGAGTGCCTTATAGGCACTAGACCACCATGGCAAGTGCTCCTTTCTCATTTAACCGTCAGAAAATTTAGCACATATTTCAGTTGAGGTTATCTCCCTGGACAACATTACTTTACGTTAATAGGCCTAATAGTTCATGTCTTGACGAAATTATACAAACTTTTGCTGCGGTCTCGGCATTGTCTGCTGTCACGATAATAATTAGGCATATGCAGGCCATGCGCGGAAAGTTGGGAAGATTTTTTTCGTGTGGACGCAACCCTCTTACATCCAAAAGCAGACGAAACGCAGCTCTGGTTTTTCTGCAAAGGTGGTTGAGCTTATCGAGAGAGTTTTTCCACGTGGCAATGTTAACGTTTAGGCAAGGAACCTCTGCGTGCCTGCCGTGAATCTGGAAACATTTAAACGCGCAAGCATGGAGCGAGGATGCCCCGTTTAAGAGGAACATTTCAGTGATTCGAATGTCGATCTGAGCGCTCATGTACGTTCTTTCACAGTAGAAAGTCCGACAGGGCTTCCAGTGTACTGCGAACTATTTTATGCTAAGAACGCCAGTATCACGAGTCCCGACGCATATGTATGCTGTAGGAAAGATGCAGAACATTTTTTTACAGGATTTGTGCCGATGCACCTAACTGAACGCGTTTGCAGCCGCTGACAAGGCAAGCCTCTGGTTGAGACATAACATTTGGCATGAGCGGGCCTTTTTATTCTCGTGGAGAACGTGCAGTAGGCGATGGCATCGTGGCAGCGCCGAAGAATGCAATTTTCCTCCCGGCTGCATACACCCCGTAAATATTACTTTCCAATCCGCACAATATACTGGCGTATGGGGTGCATTAACTTCTTTCCTGTGTCTTGCAGAGTCTGCCATTGTGGAAAAGTGACTACGGTGCTTGGCTGCTGATCCGAAGGTCGCGGGTTCGATCCCGGCCACGGCAGCCACTTTTCGATGACGGTGAAATTGTGTAGGCCTGTGTACAGTACGATGTCATTGCACATTAAGTCATGGCACCAAAATGTTCGGAGCCCTTCACTATAAACGGCGTCTCTCATAGTTATACGGACGTTCTAGGTCGTAAAACCCCATTTGATAATATTATGTGTCTTGAGTTATCCCCGTTTCTTACTTGTTCCCGTTTCAGAGAAGCTGCGCATATACAAAAGCACCTAACATTCGGGACACTTCAGGGAAAACAAGTCCCAAGATGATTGATGTGAGACTGTACCTAAGTGGCACTTCACATAAGTTCAAAAAAGGTAGCACGAAGAGTGTGCTTGTGAGTGGTTTATTCGACACCTAAAAGCTCTCTGAATTATTTACCGGAGATGTCAGCAAGGCTCTCCCGCCATTCCGTAATCATTCTTTATTGAAACGATCCGTATGTGATGTCTAATAATTGCATATGTTTCCGTAAGAATCTTACGGAAATATATGGAAAATATATAGGAAACATGTATTCTTACGGAAACACACGGAATTATTGGACATCGCATACGGAACGTTTTAGTAGGGATCACCGTAAGAAATTCGTTTAGTGTGCTATGGGAGCTCTTTACAGCATAACTTTCTCTTGTAGGTGCAGCCATGTTGGCCAGAAGGGTGGGCGCCTTAACGTAAGGCTACAGGAACAGTGTCTAGAGCATCGAAAACATGGGTTGGAAAGGATTCTAGGGCGCCAATTGTCCCGAATTTGATTGCAAGCCTTTTAGAAAACACGAGTTTTGCGACTCACCCTATGAAGGCACCAGGATCTTCAGTGAGGGCGCAATGATGGCACAAGGAAGCTATATCAGTAAACGGTGAATATTCTTATCGGAAAAAAAAAACGGGCCAATCGAGATTCTTTGGCACGTCGTGTTCCGGAGTACTTAGCTCTTTTATCTAAATCACCTCTCTGCCATTCAAATAATTGCCACCTCTTGAATCCCCTTCGTGCAGCCAGGTTACCCCCGAAACCTTGGTCCTGCTGCTCTCCCTGTCATTGTTCTCACTTCCTGCTGAACCGGGCACATCGTCGACAGCTCCGGTGCTGCCCTGGACGGCAGCCAGGACACGCTTTCCCTGGAGCTGCATGGCGCTCACCGCCTGCGGGCAGGTGCACGTTGCCTTGTTCCAGGTCAGCACTCCACAAGTATTCATTGACAAAGTGCACTGCGCGAACACTCATACGGTCATTGCTACTTTGACAAAGAGGTTATGCCGTCTTGTATAGTTGAGGAACCAACTTGCTAGTTGTTTTTGAAGACGCGAAAGCTGTTCGAAATGTAACGAGATTCAGATTGACTTTAGTGATATACCAGCAGTTTGCCTGATAAAAAAAGCCCAGAAGAAGCAAACGTACGGAGTGAACATAATTAACGTGGACACCATACGTTGGAGCTTTGATGGAAAAGTCTGGGAGGGGGGATAATTTTTTCATTGTAATGTCTAGGTAAGTGGTCATTTCTGAATGTCAAGGTAATGTAAGGAAACCGAGGGGATTAGCTTGTAAACCAGCCGGTGGTAGCTACAGGTACAAGCTCTTATTGCTAATGCCTGGGTTAACTAATTCTGCGGTACATTTTTCGCATAATATTCCCTCAGGAATAAGATTGCAACGATCATTACAGTTTAAGGGCAGCGCTACAATTCCAATGCTACTCAGTGAAAAGCGGAATATCAAAACATTACGGAAATGCATACGTTGACAATGAAACTACTTTGCTTTTGCTGCATTGCATGTAACTCCGACTACCCTGCGGGCACGTCATCAGCGTTCAGGCATGAACGACGTGCTGGTCTCGTGGGTGAAGTACATTTCCGGGAAGACGTTGCAGGGCTTCCTCCCCCTGCTTGGAATCCTCTCCATGCTTACGGCCGAGCTGACCAGCAAGGACAAGGGTGTCTCCTTTCTCTTGCCCACACTGGACGCAATCGTAAGAGTCGCTACGTCCTGGAAAAAAAAAGAGCGATTAAAAAGGGTGTCGTTTAGTTTTTCGACAAGAATCGTCATCCGGCTTGCGTGCGATTTCCTTCTTGAAAACTCGCTGCTGGGCTACTTTCGTATCAACAGTGCTATGTCGCTAATGTCGTTCGTGACCTGAAACAGCCGGGTGCGCGGCGACAATGCGAGGGAAGGAACGCCAGATAGATGCCGATAGTCGCTGCGAAACGACAAAGGCACCCTTTTTACTCGACCATTTCTTTAAGAGTAGCGCGATAACTTCGCTGCACGACACGCCGTAATTTAGTTTAAAGAACCAGTGCCTTCTTACTCTTAAATGATCCGCGACACGAAGCTCTTCCGCTACTCAGCGAAGCTCAGCGGAACATTCTTCCGAGAATTACCACCGCGTGCTGTCAATAGGACATTTAAGCAAGCTACGGATATACCATACGCAAACACCGTCAGGCAGTACGATATACCGCTCTTCCTTTCCAGTGACGGTGCGTTCGCTGGACGACAGGTTTCTCGTTAACCATGCGTAGGCTGAGAGTCCACAACGAGGCGTGACAACGCCGCCGTAATTTTTGAAAACGCTCTTGCTTTGTTGGGATGCCATCAATAAAGAATGGTCAATGACCGGGAAGCGAGGAGCGGTACGGTAATATCGTATCGTATATCTGTAATTTTCTAAACGACCCTAATGAGGCAACAGTGACTTCTTGTCTCAAAAGCGGCGTTATCGTTCTTTGCGCTAAGTTCCTTATTTTCCCGAGGCGAGTAGTTCATGTATTTGAGCATGAAAATAAGTGTTGTCAGTTTTTCTCTCGATATAGCAATACATCTATCTTAAGATGTTTACGCATTGTTACCTGAGAGATGTTTTTGCGTTTTGTTCGTGTTTTTTTTTTCAAATCTTGCCTGTGGTATACCTCGATTGGCTTCTTCAGTTATGTTAGTTGAAACAAAGAGCTTACCTAATGGAAAGACGCATTAAACGGCTGATTTAACATTGACCCACTACCACTAATTATTTATTTATTTAGGTGCGGCTGTTTAGCAGTGCTTAAGTTATATGCCAACTCGAAATATCAACTACTACTTGCGCAACATTTTTGAGACAACGGACGAAACAGACATGAATAGGCGCTGGCTCATGTCTGTTTCGTTCGTTGTCCAAAACCGTTTGCGCGAGTAGTAGCTGATCATGGAGTACCAACTGAGCTCGAACCCATACCTTCGAAATATAGGGTCGCGGACGTCTACCATCAATTATTTCAGTACGTCTACTTTGAGGTAATATACTGCCAATAACCGACATCATTAAAAATAAAGATAATCAGGCTGTAGAAGTCGGTATTCTTAGCCGAATTACTGGAAGAACACCTCCAGTCGGTGATGCCTTAGAGCGGCTGTTGGCAACCATTCGGTGTGGAGGACCCTGAGTTGTATGATCTACACTGTGGGGGTCGAACAAATAATAAAAGGTTGGTGGAATGAGGTGAATTTATAACAATGCACAAAACAGGAATATAAATCAAGCTTATTTTCAGCACGCATGTCACAAGGATGAAATTCACTAACAGGGTATAGGCAACCAGCACACTTGAGGTCAAAAGTGCCATGTCAGCCTCCACATGAGACGTGACAAGGAGAGCGGTCGTTGTTTTGACTTCGCGCTGTCGGCCAGGTATCACTGCTCTGCGGACCGCACGCCGACAGGTACTTTAGATAACAAATTTCGTACGAAAAGCAAGCAACGAAGCCAAAGCGTGCATACAGGCGTTGTCACTGGTGATGTTTATTTGAAATGTAGTAGTAATGACATTTAAAAAAACCTAGATCATAACTGAAAAAAAAAGTACAGGCGCATTGTTCCCTCCAGGCGTTTCGGGTCTTTACGGCACAATTCGTGCCCCGCCGTGGTGGTCTAGTGGCTAAGGTACTCGGCTGCTGACCCGCAAGTCGCGGGATCAAATCTCGGCAGTGGCCACTGCATTTTCGATGGACGCGAAAACGCTGTAGGCCCATGTGCCCAGATTTGGGTGCACGTTAATGAAGGTGGTGGTGAAAATTTCTGGAGTCCTCCACTACAGCGTCTTTCATAATAATATGGTGGTTTCGGGCCGTTAAACCCCACATATCAGTCAATCAGTCGGTACAATTCGTGGCGCCAGATGTTCGTTCACGTGACATACGGAAAAGACAAGCTCTCGATTGGGCCGATATACGAAAGGCATCTGTTGCGAATGGTCGCAACAGATACCTCTATGAACCAGCGATGAAAATTCGGGCCTTGCACTTTCCAACCAGTGTCATCAATTGACCTCTTGCAGTTCTTATATTGGGTCCGTGCCATGGCGTTTTCACCTTCCTTAGAGTTTCGGCTAGGTGTAGGCTTATTATAGAAATGTGGGAGCCGGTGTCCACAAGAACCGTCACTTGGTGGCCGTCAATGTGAACGACGAGGTGAGTGCTGATAACGTCGGTTACGTCGGCAGTTGTCTCATTCGTCGAATTAGTCGTTGCTGTCGTCTTCTTCAGCATCGGTGGTTTCGAGTTGTCATTGAAGTCGCGTAAACTATGAAGTCACATTAATGGTCTGCTTCGTCTCACATGACTGTATACCGTGTGCGATGAACTAATTTTACTTCGTTTCCTGCATTTGTGACGGCGCAAGCGGAGATGGTAGCGTGAAGTCAAAATGCACGAAATCCTGATAGGCTTACTCCCATATTCACAAACGCTCCTCGACTTGATCTTCACCCTTCACTTGACAGAGTTGAGCACTGCGCCACAGCTCGGCTCAAAAATGACGCTGCGCTACTGAAGAATTGCAGCAAATTATCGCTGATATGTAGTGACTTGCCGTGCCTAGAGACCGCGCTCCCATCGGGTTTCTCAAGTGAAGGTGAAGCGCTGAGTGAAGGGACGTTCTTGAATACGGGGGTTAATGGTTAGTTCTTACATTCCATGTGTTTTCTGAAGAAGTATGTGGCGAGGAGAAGGGAGCGCTTGTAGCAAGAGTAGTCAAGATGACGACGAAGCTACTGTCTCGCCTTTGAACTCGGTGTGGTTTAGTGACCTTTTAAAGTAAGCGAAAGGGGTCAGACAAAAAAAAAACGCCAGGCCTGCGCGGTAGGCGCAGCGCAGTCACAGCGAAAGCTAGAAGTGCGGCCCTTCAGAGCATTTTCAAAACACTCATTGGGTAACTACTGCAAGAACACTTGGTTGGTACCCACAAGAGCACTATTAAAAGACAGCAACATTTGGGTGGTAGGCCAGCATTTGCAATTTTTCGTCATTCTTCTGATAAGCGTGGTATCCGCTAAACACTTGCACAAAATTTTGTGCAAATTGTCCATGCAGTGGCTGACGACGATGAGGAATTCTGGCTGAAGTGGGTGTGCGCCACAGTTGATAAGGGAACAGGAACAAGCTTTTACAATCGTTTGTAGCATTGGACGGCCCACTCGTTACGCTATTCGCATTTCGACGAATGTTTTTTTTTTTGTCGCTGTTTTAAAAAGCTTTATAAGTCGTAATAACGCGATTGTTTTCCCGAGATCAAGCCAGTCTAAGGTAAGTTTGACAACAAGTCACAAGCACCGGTGTAGATCAGTGGTTGAATACTGGACTGGCACCCAGTGGACCCGGGTTCAAGCCCCACTGTGTCATTGGTGCAAGGTTTTTTTCTAATTTCGCGCAATTTGGTTATGGACACAGGTGGCGGCGGCGGACAACAACTGCACGTGACCCGAAAAGTGATCCAATAACCGCTTTCGCTGTAAAACTCGTCAGCAAGGTTAAACACCCTGTATCCTTCGAATTACGTGTGCAGTGCGTCGCAAATTTACGAACTGCGCAACAGTACACCTGCCCACTTTCTGTATGCGCACGAGATTCGTCGGGATGGTGTTGGAGCGTCGCTCAAGTGAAGTCACAAGCTCGAGTCACAAGCTCAAGAAGCGTCACTGTGCGTGTGTACGCGCGTGCAGATCCCGGTGCTTTATATGTCACGCAGTGATGTTTCGTGCAGTAAATTTTCCCTTTGCGGGGACTTCCCACGTGAACATTTGAGTTAAAGGGAAAAAGGGAATCTTCGTGATACTGCAGTGAATTTCCGAAATGTTTATATTCTTCTATTATGACCGATAATTAGCGGTCACAGTGTGCCTTCATCTGCTGTATTCGGTTCTGACGCATGCACCACGCAAGCATAGCCTTTGAGATTTGTTTCTGAAATTTACGCAGAGCAATTTCTAGTTTACTAGCGGTGCTAGACTTGAAGCTCACAATGTGCACACAAGATTGAAGCTCATAATGTGCAGTGTACTAACAACATATGAATTAATAAAGTCATGCTTTCGTTGTGCAGCAGTGGAGGGGCTAGTCATGATTTCATAAGTCACCAGTACGTGAGAAACGTGTAGTTATAGTATGTGTGTGCGTAGGTGAGGGCAGAAATTAGTACTTTTGTGCTGGGAATTTCGTCAGCGTTTGCAGGGAAAATTCTCCAAAATAGGGAAGTTTCATGTCTCTGAATGGGAAATCTCCGGCGCACTAGGGAACACCGCTGTATATGCGCAGTCTTAATTGACCCCATATAAACTGCTAACATGTCCATATAGTGCTGATCTATAATACTAACGCTCATGACTTGTCACGCTATGTTCGGACGCGCTTCAAGAAAGCTTCGAAGTGCGTTCTCAAAGCGTGCTTATCGTGTGCTTATCGATAACCGCGATGCCGTGCCGCGCAGATCCGTGCCCAGAAGGTGAACCCGTTGACGCTGATGCTGCCCGCGACCCGGCTGTCCTCGGCCACCTTCTCCATCTCAACGTCGTCGCAGAATAACGCTTTGCTCAGAGACTGCGGTGGGCTCTCAGCTCTCGACATGGTGAGTAGTTACGAAATAATACGAAGTGCAATAAGTTTGAGCGCTGGGCTAGATTGTGACTCTTCAATAGTGATTAGTCATTGAGTGTTCGAAAACATTGTTGATTGTTAATTCTTTTCTGTGTAGCTCGGGGGTGCATGGGCGCATATAGTAGATTTTTTCTAAATTAAATTCAGTTACGAGTGCGCCGAGCATCTTTCCTTCTTGTCTCCGTCCTTGTCTCCTTTGTCTTCGTCTAAAGTGCGCTACTTCACCCACACGGTATAGTGATGAGTTGCAGCAATGCTATTATTGTAATAACAATATCTGGGTGTTTCGTCACAAAACCACCACATGAGTATCGGAGACTGCCTTAGTGGAGCGCCCTTACCATTTCGGTCACCTGGTATTCTTTTAACATGCACCCACATAATTAGCACACGAACATTCAGAATTTTCGCCTCCATCGAAACATTCGGCACACGTGGGGTGGAGATTTGATCCTGTCACCTTTGGGTCAGCACTCATGCTCCACAACCACCAGACCACCGGGATGGTCAAGTAGTTATGGAATAGTCCCTGCTTGTAGTAGTGTACTTGTACTCCACTTTACCGCGTCCATTACGAGCTCGGTTCACGGCGTTTTGTGCATCAGCGCAGTGAAAACAAGTTTTTTGTCTGCATGGTCAATTTTCTAACGTGAATGCAATGCAGCAAAGTGGGGCTGGGGGGCGAAAACAGTTCGCTACACCGCATTGTGTGGGCTTAGTTAGAAAAAGTCGGAGACGAAAGTTAACGAAGCTTAGCAATAAAAGCAATCAAGTTGCTGCCAATAATAAGCGTATTAGACGTATAATATTCTTTTGTATTCCAGTGTCCACATGAATAGGCATGAAATACCAGCCAATTCTGATTAAGCTAGCCATCGCTTTTCCCCAAAATTTTACTTTCTTAAAAGCAAGAAGTTGACCAGTTGAAGCACAGTGTGCTAGTATGTTTAGTCCACACATGAGGACGCTGCTATACAAAGGGTTAAACGTTTCAAGTGTAGGGCAGCGTGATGAATGGTGAGGGCAAGATAAGTAATAAGCATCCCAACTAAACCAGCAGTTCGGACGGCACCTGCGCGCCACGCCCTGTGTTAATCTTTTGGCATCAATTGAATTTTCTTGACTACATGCAGCTCTTTTTGGTTGTGAGCTAACATGCTTCACAATCATAAGGCCGAAGGGCGAAAATCAGTCACAGCGCCCCCCCCCCCCCCCAAACACGTCAATGTGTCAGTCCTCGTCCCTATTAGCTGAATGCATGAGGCCGATATTGCGCATCCTTTTTTAGGTGATTGGGGGGGGGGGCGGACACCTGCCGCCCTCGCGTGCACGCTCACGTTCACAACCGCATCTCACTGGTGTTTTTATTATTCATTCCATGCCTCTTAATTTCCCGCTAATTGCAGCTCGTGTTAGCAAGGCTTGGAAAACCAACAACATAAGTGGTATTCATAGCTAAGGAACTTGCGCAACAAAAACGTGGACGAGAGAAGGGACAGACACCAACATTTGTAGCGCAAGCTCTAGCTCTGAATCAGTGCCAACTCTTCCAACTTTCAGTACTCTTGAAATGTAATATTGCTGCAATACCATTTGTTACATTTCTTCTATTTTCCTTTTGTCCTCGTGAAGGCAAAGATTAAAATCTTCTTCAGCGGCTGCATATCTTGCCTAAAGGCGCTAGCTGTTTCACATATGCTATGCTTGGGGCTAAAAGTGCGCCACTATAAATGGGTACGCCGGCAGCCTTTCTTCGCATTACGTTTCCTCTCATTATTTAGTCGAGTTTCACCTCTGTAGTACACAGTGGTTAGGATACTTCCATGCTTACCCAATAGTGGCAGCTTTGCCCCTGTCACGGCGGTCGCATTTCCATGGGAACAAAAGGCTTTGGTCCTTGTGAGGTACGATGTCAGTGCACGTAACCGCGTGCCCCCTATTTATAAAGTGGTTTTGGCACGTGAGACCTAATATGTTATTTTTAAGCCGAGGGCCCTCAGTATACGTGTCTTAGCAGTGATAAGCCAACTACACGCGACATGTAGATGAAGTATCTTGGTGAGCCTTAACAATGTATAGGGGCCCAGACTTAGGTTATTTTCAAGCCGAGGGCCTTAAGCATACGTGTCTTAGCAGTGATAAGCCTACTTCACACGACATCTAGACGAAGTATCTTAGTAAGTCTTAACTATGAATAGGGGCCCACACTTATGAGAGTTTTTTGTTGGGCTAGTGGGTGCTTGTTTTACGGAACGAATAATGCACAAACGAGACGAGTTCAATAAGAAGCCTGGACGAACGCCTGCAAACAACTGATTTTATTCGCAGGAAAGGGGAATACATACAGGCCCTGATGTCGACAGCGCTAATCACATTGTGTTTTTCAAAGCAATAAATGTTGGACGTGATGACGTATGTTCGGCAATAGAGGAAATATGATCAATGACACGTGGTGTATAAGGCCAATGTTACATGAAAATGAAGCATAAATAGCATGGCGATTGCAGCAACAAAATCTTCCGACATAAAACTATTAACTTTGGCCTTATACAACACGTGTCATTGATGATATTTCCTTTTTTTGTCAAAGGTATGCCATCACATACCAATTTTATCGGTTTTAGGAACACCATGTGATCAGTGCCGTCGAAATGAGGGCTTGTACATACTTCCTTTTCCTGCGAATAAAATCGGGCTGTTTGCAGACGTTCGTTCATGTGTTCTTTCTTGTGTTCGTCTGGTTTAAGCCTCATTCCTTCCGTGAAACCCAGACTTTAGAATCTGCATAAATGAATGAATCCCACCGTCCTTCCAGATTACCATAGGAGGTCAGCTGCACGTGGTGTTCGCTGCCCTGGAACTTCTCAGCGTCCTGACTGTCGGCGACGCCATGTTCAACCTCGATTCCTTTCCCTACTGGGCACTTCCTAATGCAACCCGAACCACTTCGAGGATGTGATGAACTAACGCATCCAGTGGCTTTGCGGCTTTGTGAATTTCTTTGAGTTAGTCGGCTGGACAATGATGATGGCTTGAACGTTTTTTAACAAGTTGCGCTGTATGATTTTTTTTAAACTCGTGGACCAGTTTTTCTATAATGAAGTTGAAGATATATAGCACAAATAAGACATAGAGAATGTCAGACTGTGTACAGTTTTTTTTTGGCTTCTGATGCAGTGCCATTTTTTTGTCCTCGTCTTTCATACACTAAATCAATTGAAATAGCGTGAGCTGCTATTTAATGGCATTTGGGCTTAGGCGGCCTTGCGAGTGCGCGTCGTCTTGCCTCGCTCAAGACCTTTCACCCTTCAATGTTGTAAAACTCAACGTAGGTTAACTTTTATTACCGCTGCTACTCTGCACGTTGCCACCGTTACGTTAAGTATACATAGGTGTTTGTCTCGATGCCATCGACATTTTGCCTCATTTGCATTGTTCGCATAAAATAATATACTAACCACATCTTGTCAAGGACATGAGCTCGAAGTCCAGCACTCCTTAAAAAAATTGAGGGGCTGTTCCACGCACTGTAGGTCTGTTAGGTCATTCCGTGCTGCAATAATTACGTAATCTTGCGGTTCACTATAGGGTCGCGGACGTGGGTTCAATTTATGGCCGTGGTGACCCGAGTCCTAACCACAGCATATTAAAACCTAACAAACACCATTGCGCTATTGATATGTGGGTATGTGCTACAAGTGAGGTCATTCCGTGCTGCAATAATTACGTAATCTTGCGGTTCACTATAGGGTCGCGGACGTGGGTTCAATTTATGGTCGTGGTGACCCGAGTCCTAACCACAGCATATTAAAACGTAGCAAACACCATTGCGCTTTTGATATGTGGGTATGTGCTACAAGTGATTGACACTTCGTATATATCCAGGAACGGCGAAAACACACGCGAATAATTTCAACGCGTGAACGTTAAAAAAAGCTTACATCAGCAACATTTGCACAATGAATGCAAAGAATAAATCTAAGGGTCCCAGCAGGCATCAAACTAAAGCATTCTGCATGGCAATCAAGTATACCACAGAGCCACGCCAGGTCTAATAACTACTTTTTAACTAGATCCTAATGTTCGTGAAGCGTCAATTGCGGTTCCAGTAACTGGCTATCAAATTTTATAAACAATGCGTATACGTACTTCTACAATACAGCCGTCACGTTGGATTAACGTGAATTGTAGTTAGGTGCCATTCATTGAAGTTTATTTATGTAGCAGTGTCCAGGGCTACCATCCTCGCCAGCACCAACACTTCATTATCCCATCTGGTGTTGCTAATACTCGTGTTCCTGTTGGCATCATTGCGCAAGTGCTAACAACTATTTATATAAACATATGCAATTCTTCAGCATATGTCGGTACGAGCAACATTTGTACATATAATTAGCGTGATTTCAAAACGTGTCTTTCAATAAAAAATTAGAACACAGTCACTTTCCCTCCGCGCGCTTCGCAAAACGTTTATTCCCAAGGTACGTAGAATCTGCAGAACTTTTTCTTCTCTGTGTTTCCTTTGCGCTACATCTGCAAAAGCGACCGGTTGCGTTCCACATCGGAGGATTGACGGAAGTCGCATGGCATGGTCGGTGACGTTGCAAGCACACCGGGTTGCCAAAAAGCACTTGAGCATGCACCTGTGAGATTGGCATCGCAGCAAGGAGCGCGAAAACGTAAGCAGCCTTCAATACAGACCCACCCATCGCTCATCGGCAATGCGATTGCGGTGGACCACTGCTGTGCGCTGCGCAACTTGAACGCAACTCGCACCTACTTGAGAAGAAGAACACGACATTGCAGTTGCGTACCTTGCTCACTACTCGATTGCTCCTCGCTAAATGGCGCCCAGTCGCTGAGTGGCAATGACCAACGAGCCGGTGGTTAGAGCAAGGCGGAAGTTTATAAAAAATGAAATACGGGAAGAAAAGAAAAGAGTATAAAAGGTGAATGCTCACTATTACCACAGTTACACCCTGTGTGAAATCAGCTGATGCGCGGTTCCCGTGTTTTATCTCTTAAAATTTTTTGAGATGTGATGTGGTTTTGTGTGGATACCCGCACCTTTTATGGCCATAACAATAACTTTATACCCTATTCACGAAGGAAGCACCTTTGACCGTTTCATTGTGCCGCAAACACTTCATCCACAGAAGAGGCAATTACACATCTGCACAGGTGTTCTTAGAAGAATATCTCAACAATAACGGCCACTTGCTTTTACATGGCGCAACCATGTATTGATAGGTGGAGTATGTGCAGACATGTGCGTCAGTTGGTCTTTGTCATGGCTATGGAACAGTGCTGGCAAACAAGAACAAGCAAGGACAAGTACAAATATGCCAACAACGCCGGCGATGCTTGTGTCTGGTGCTGTCGGTGTCTCTCTCTTCGTCCATGCCCTTGTTTTCCGCTATCCTGTTATACAGCTGGTGTTACCTTTTCATAGATGCAATTTTAGTTCTTGAAATCAATCCACCTTGGCCAAGTCATGTTCCGGTGACATGACGATCAAGCCTCAAAAGATCAATTTGGTGACCAATATTTTCGTATTTCCGTTATTTGGATCGACAGCCAACAGCTCATTTGCCGTTGTCGTCTTTACATCATCCCAACCACGTCTGTTTCTTGGCATCACTTGTGCGTCATACCAAATTAACATTAGGCGTTGAACAAGTTCTCAAGGATTTCTTGCTCTTCGGAATTCCTGACCTATAATGGTGTAATGCACAGTCAGCCAAAACATTAACTATTGTGCACAGTGGCCACATTTTGCTATCAGCGCCGTATTTTGGAACGAAGTTAAAAAATTGCTTTGTGGACATGTGCTTCGTGGGCATACACTAACCCCCAGTTTTTTTTAGGATTTCAGTCGTACGGCGAAGATACACACACAAAAAAAATCTGCCACTCATGCACAACAGCTGAAAAATTGGCCGATTGTTTGTGGTCGTTTTAAGTTAACCTCGGCGGATATAGTTAAAACACATCAATTTCAAAAGCGTGATTACGATTTATCTCATATCGTCGCACATTACACGACATATATTATGCTGCGCACTCTTTCAACGGCTGCGGAAATACTTGTGTTATTCCACGCTACCACAATATCGAACAATCAATCGTAAATTTTTATAACGCAATGTTTACATAATCTCCCCATGCTCTCACGGGCAGGTAACCAAACAGCATGTCGGAACAGTGCACCTCGAAGCAATACACACTCGATGCATTTCCCGCTTGCTCGTATCACTGGACACCGAGTGAGGGCTCGACGTCGTGGAGTGCCAGAAACTGCATCACCTGCTCCGGTACGGCAACGAGCGCCTCTCGCGGCAGCAGGTGCATACGGTCACGGTACGGCGCGACTTCAACCACGTGCACGCACTCGCGTAGACCCGCCTGACGGCGTGAGAGCAGGTCCCTGCGGAGTGCGCGGCTGCAGCCTTCCTCGCCTATGACCAGAAGCACGACGGACACGGCGCAGGCGGACGCCTTCGACAAGCAGTCCAGCGTGCTGAGCCCGTAGTCGAGCCTGCCGTCGGTGAGTACCAGTACCACGTAATAGTGAGCCGGTTGCGCCAGCTGGGCCACGTACGTCAGGGACGGACCAAGCTCCGATGGTTCCGAAGAGAACAGGCGTTCCAGGCTTTCCGCGTACGCCTCCAATACGCCTTGCACACCGTTGACCCGAGGTTCGCCCTTGCCCGAAAGAAAAATGTATGGCTGACTCATCAAACCGGCCGAAGTGCGCGCACCGAACGCCAAGGCCAGCAGGAGCTGGTCCTCATCGAACTGCTGCACCACCTCATCGAACGCGAAGATGACCGACTCATACTCGCGTCGCATGTCGCTTCCGGGCCTCAGGTCACCGTTGGAGGAGCTCAGGTCGATGATGAAGGCGAAGTGAAGCGAGAAGTCGCCATGCAGGTAGTCTATGAGCGTCCAGGGAAACTGGCGACACCGCTCGACGAGCAGCGATGGTCGCTCGTCATCGACCGAATTGGGCTCGAGGCCCGCGGCCGCCACTTCAGGCGCCTCGAGCGGAAGCATGGTGCCGACTTCCACTTCGTCCAGTAGGACGGTCGCCTCCCCGACGAAGGTTCGCTCTCCCGTCAGGTTGACATCATAACATCGGGCTTTGAGTACGCCGCCCGGAAAGCGGTCCGAGTTGATCACCTGAGGTTTCCAGCGTGGCGTCCGATTTCGCGAGACGACCTCGGTGACGAGGACCGCGTTGCCGTCCTGCGCGCAGAGCTCGAGCATGGGATCGCTCGAACGGAACAGCTTCTTGACCGGAAGCGAGCGGGCAGAAAATTCGAGAGCGACGAAGCCTCCCGGCTGGCTGACGGCACGTGGCATCACCGTGATGCTTCCGGGTACCTTGGCTCCCTTGCGGTCCACCAGAGTTCGAATGTAGGGAGTGTCCAGATAGACGAGCATGTCGACCGCGCCGCACACAGCGCGGCCGAGCGGCTCACTCGCTTTGGTGATGCGGTTCACGCTGAATAGTTCGAAGAGGAGCAGGTGCGTCTCGCCGAACCGGTACGAGGTGGCGAAGACGGCCGCACAGTCCTTGCCTGGTTTGGTGCGGTCCAACTCGCGGAACGCGGCTCGGTCAGGGCCGTCGCTCACCGAGTAGACGGCGAACGTGTCCAACCACGAGCCCGTGTTGCTGCGTCGGTCGCGCACGCCCTCCCAGGTGACTTCGAGGCGGATATCGAGCGCTTCGCTCGACGTCGACGCCTCGAACGCCATTTTTCTTGCTTCCACCTCGTTCCTTGGCTGCTACCCACAACGGGGGACCGGCCATGAATATGATGGTGCTTCTGGAATGATTGGCACCTATGCGCTTAGGGGGATCGGCCAAGATCCTGGTGATTCATGTAGACCAGGTGTCACTAACTCCTTTTAGGCGAAAAGCCGCAGTCACAGAATGCCGCCCCGCAAAGGGCCGGGTCGAGAAAGAAGGTAAGAGGGCAGGCAGGGAGGGGGGGGGGGTGAGTCGTACATATACCATTCACGTACACAAACGATACCATGCAATAGAAACCCTTTCCCGTATATCAAATACGGGTGACTGCTGAAGATTTCAGGCTAAAATTACCTCCAACGACATGTCGATACCATTCTCCAAATGAGTTAAATCTAGACTCCGATTCTGGCATGCTGCTTTTGTTTGATGATGATGAGTAGTTTTTAGTGGCGCAAGGGCCAATTGATGGCCAAAGAGCGCCATTTCAATTGACTACAGATATGAACAATGATATGGTGCGTGGCTGTAAAGGGGCCTTAAAATTCCTCGCTCTAACGCGGGCTAAAACATGAAAGTAATAAAATCATTACAGTGGCGTGACATATGTGTGGTGATAGCTGATGGCAAAATGTCATGATAATAAAACCATGATGAAGATATAGTCACCGCAGCCACGACCACTCCATGGAGGTCAGGCTACGGATGACCTCGAAATATCGGGTGAAAGCTTTGCACTTCTTTTAAAAATGTAAAAAGTGTTTGTAGTGTAAAAAGCGGACCCCTACCGATGAGCATCCCAGGGTGTAGAGGGAGCTGCTGTCGGTAGGGCAGTAAAAAGTGCTTTTTTCTTATAGCATCTAGCTCATTGCACTGGACGAGAATGTGGAGAACCGTAAGGGGCTCTCCACATCTCTCACAATATGGTGGATCGCCGGTAGATAGAAGAAATGAATGTGTAGAATGTGTGTGTCCTGTCCTAAGCCTTGTTAGTATTACTTCCGTGTGTCGTGATTTTGATAGTGGCGGCCAATAACCTAGTTGCGGCTTAATAGCATAGAGTTTATTATCTGTTTGTTTATCCCACATGCTCTGCCAATACTCCCTGAGCTTTCGTTTTATAAAAGGTTTTAAGTCAAGTGCAGGGACTGGTGTTGGTGCATTGGCAGTAGTGACATTGGCGCAAGCAGCCAGATTGTCGGCCAAAACGTTCCCTTGTATTTCACGGTGCCCTGGAACCCAGCAGACAACGACATGCTGTTTTGATGCGTAGAGTGTGCACAGAAGTGAGTAGAGTGACACCAGCACGGGGTTCTTGTGTTTTTTAGGAGTTTTCAGGGCTTTGACCACGCTTAGGGAATCTGTGTATATTACCGCCTTTTCTAATTTTATCTGTTTAATGTGTTTTACGACCGCCAGTATTACGTAAGCTTCTCCTGTGAAAATGCTTGCATTAGGATGAAGAACGCCGGCCTCAGAAAAGGATTGGCCTATTGCTGCATATGACACAGAAGTGTTTGACTTTGACGCATCAGTAAAGAACTCAGGGCATGTGTATTTATGTTGTAGTTCTAAAAAGTATGTATGTATGTGTGCAAGTGGTGCGGGCTTTGTGACATCAACAAAAGAAACATCACAGTCTATAAGCTGCCACTGCCACGGTGGCAGATATGTTGCAGGAGACATCAAACTGGGTTCAAGAAGAGGCACACCTATTCCTTCGGCCAAGCTCCTTACACGCAGCGCGTAGGGCTGCCTAAACGAAGGTCGGTTCTCGAACAAGCCAGAACAAGACAAATCATTAATTGTGAAATGGGAAGGATGTTTCTTGTCTGCCTTCACCTTCAAAAAGTACAAAAAGGACAGGGAACATCTTTGTAGGTGGAGCGACCATTCATTCGAATCCACGTACAGGCTCTCCACAGGGCTGGTGCGGAAAGCACCCGTAGAGAGGCGAATGCCTAGGTGGTGGACAGGGTCGAGAATTTTCAAGGCTGATGGTGTTGCCGACTGGTAGACTATAGCACCGTAATCTAGGCGTCTGCGTACGAGGCTTTTATATAAGTTAATTAAACATTTCCTGTCACTTCCCCATGTAGTGTGTGACATCACTTTCAAAATGTTCATTGTTTTTAAGCACCTGTCCCTTAAATACTTGATGTGTGGGATGAAAGTTAGCTTAGTGTCTAATATGAGACCGAGAAACTTGTGCTCAGTCTTCACTGACAGAGGTTGACCATGCAGGTCAATGTCGGGGTCAGGATGGAGGCCCCTCTTTCGGCTGAACAAGACACAACTGCTCTTTTGCGCGTTGAGTATAAAACCATTCTCGTTTGCCCATTGAGATACCTTGTTCAACCCTTGTTGAACTTGACGTTGGCACATTGAGATGTTGCAAGATTTGTAACCAATCTGCACATCATCGACATATATGCAGTAAAAAATATTTCGTGGGAGAGACAGGTGCAAGGAATTCATTTTAACTATGAAAAGTGTACAGCTCAATACACCTCCTTGTGGCACTCCTGTTTCTTGGACAAATACTCGAGATAAGACAGTGCCAACTTGGACACGGAATGTACGGTTGGACAGGTAGCTTTCGATAACTGTCAGCATTCTACCCCGCACACCTAAATGTGACAGGTCTCGCAATATGCCGAAGCGCCATGCAGTGTCATATGCCTTTTCCTTATCGAGAAACACAGAAAGAAAAAATTGCTTATGAACAAAAGCGTCGCGAATTTGTGCCTCGATACGGACAAGGTGGTCAGTGGTGGACCGAGCCTCTCGAAACCCACACTGGTATGGGTCAAGTAGGCCACTAATTTCAAGGAAGTGCATCAGGCGCCTGTTAATCATTTTTTCAAAGACTTTGCAAATACAGCTGGTTAATGCTATTGGCCTGTAGCTGGAAACTGAGGCCGGGTCCTTGCCTTGTTTTAGAATTGGGATAATGATAGCTTCCTTCCAGGCTGAGGGTAGCTCGCCAGAAGACCATATCGCATTATAGAGAGAGAGGAGAGCTTTCTGGGTTTCAGTGGGCAGGTGTTTCAACATTTCATATGCCACACGGTCCGGGCCTGGGGCAGATTTATTGCAGCAGGCAAGTGAGGCCTGCAGTTCAGCAAAACAGAAAGGTTCGTTGTGTGCCTCATGTGTTCTGGGCTTGCGCTCTAATCTCTGTTTTTCTATTGCGGTTTTGTATCGTCGGAACGCTTCACTATAGTGTGTTGAGCTGGAGACCTGTTCAAAGTGCGCTCCGAGAGTGTTTGCCTGGTCTTCCAAACTCTCCCCTTGTGTGTTCACTAGAGGAAGCGAATGTGCTTCTCGTCCTGCCACCTTGCCAACCATGCTCCAGACTCTCGACTCATCTGTGTATGAGTTAATGCCCGATACGAATTTGTGCCAACTTTCTCTTCTCGCCTGTCGGCGCGTCCTCCTTGCTTGCGACTTGACGTTCTTAAAGTTTACAAGATTCTCGGCTGTGGGCGAGTCTCTAAGCAACCTCCATGCCTTATTTTGTTTTTTTCGAGCATCACGGCACTCATTATTCCACCATGGGACTCGTCGTTTGCTTGACGGTCCACATGTTTGGGGAATACATTTTGCTGCTGCATCAACCAAGAAAGCTGTAAAGTAGCATACAGCATCCTCTATGCTCAATGCCGCCATGTCAGTCCAAGATAATAAAGTCATTTTTTGAAACTTTCCCCAATCAGCTTTGTCGGTGAGCCATTTTGGAACTTGTACAGGACATGTATTTGTTATTGATGAGCTGATAACGATAGGAAAATGGTCACTACCATATGGATCATTAATAACTTCACATTTAAGTAGAGGCAGGAGTGATGGGGATATTATGCTGAGGTCTATTGCTGAGTACGTATTGTTAGCAATGTTGTAGTATGTTGGCGCTTTCCGATTCAGAAGGCATGCACCGCAAGAAAAAAGAAGCTGTTCAATCAGGCGACCTCGAGCATCGCAGCGAGAGTCACCCCACAGATTGCTATGTGCATTGAAATCTCCCAGAAGAATATAAGGTTCTGGAAGTTCGTCTATGAGGGACTCGAATTCATGCTTTTCGAGACGGTGTTGTGGAGGTATGTATAGAGAGCAGATGGTGACGAGCTTATTCAATAGAACTGCTCGAACAGCCACCGCCTCAAGGGATGTTTGTAATGTTAGGTGTGTGCATGCAATCCCTTGATTGACTATAATGGCAACACCACCGGATGGCACAATGGCATCATTCCGGTCTTTCCGAAAGATAATGTAGTGACGTAAAAAGTTGGTGTGTTTCGGTTTCAGGTGTGTCTCTTGTACGCACAGCACTTTAGGTGTATGTTTGTGTAAAAGTTCCTGGATATCGTCGAGGTTTCTCAACAGTCCTCTGACGTTCCACTGTAGTATTTGTGTCATTTTAATTTAGTGTGGTGCTGTGCATACAGAGGTGTTGCGTTAGTTTACAGGGCCTTTTGAGGGCCCTGTGATTCGAGGTTTTTCTTTTTTGGCGCGCTCCAAGGAGTTGCGCCTATCCTTCGGCATCTGAGGCGCCGAAGGAGTGGGACTTGTATCCATCACCTCGTGTGAGGTGGTGGATGTTGCCTGCTGGGCAGGCACATTCACTGAACTTTCGGACCTGACTGCGCCTGCAGTGGTCCGAGGTTCAGCAGACACTAGGGTCTGCCGGCCCTGTTTGTCAGGGGGCGGAGCAGTACAGGCTGCTCCAGCCGGGGGCGCTGGTGGCACGACCGCGGCCACACACTGTGTGGCATTCGCGGGTGCCGAGGCATGTGGCGCGGCGCCCCGGCGCGTCACATCTGCAAAGGAGGGATAAAATGGGTTGTGTATTGCGAAGCGTTGGCGCGCTTCTTGGAATGTGAGATTAAATTTAACTTTAAGTTCTACTATTTGTTTCTCTTTTTTCCATGCGGGGCATGATCGTGAGTAGGCAGCGTAATCTCCTTCACAGTTCGAACAATGAGTTGTTTCTGAGGTGCAGTTGTCTGATATGTGTTGAATGGATGCGCACTTTGCGCAAGTGGCACGCCCTCTGCAACTCTGCGATCCATGACCGAAACGTTGGCACTTGAAACATCGACGAGGATTGGGAATGTATGGTCTTACACGAAGCTTACAATAGCCGGTTTCGATTGATTCTGGTAGGTCACTTGTTCCAAACGTAATTATTACGTGTTTTGTAGGGGTCAGTTTGTTGTTGCGTCTTATTGTTATTCGTTGGACTTTGACCACGTTCTGGTCCTGCCAACCTTCGAGCAGCTCACTTTCAGAAAGCTCAGTAAGATCATCATCAGAAATTACGCCACGGACAGTGTTCATGAACCTGTGTGGGCCCACCGAAACAGGGGTTTCCCCAAAGGTCACAAGCTTAGACAGCTTTTCATACTGAGCTTTGTCACGAACCTCCAGAAGAAGATCGCCACTTCCCATCTTTGTTACTTTGTAACCTGGGCCTATTGCTTCTGTGAGAGTTTTGGAGACGAGAAAAGGTGAAATAGCTCGGACTGTCTTCTTTTCGTTTTGACTGTGAATTACATTGTACTTTGGGAATGTGGGCTTTGGTGTGTTAGGCAAGAAAGTATCTTCGGTGCGCCACCTTTTTAGGGAGCGATCAGGAAGTGGGGGAAAAGATTTTGCCATAAAATACAATAAAGTTCGGCGGCGATGGTGGCCACCCACCACCGAGCCCAACAAGGGGACGCTACAAGGTTGACTAGTGAACACTTGGAGACGCCAGCCATGCATCGCCGCTATAACCGAATATAACTACCCAAGGTTGGGTAACTACACAGGGTTAACCCTCGCCGCCAGGAAATTCGGAAGTAAACGGAAAAGAGAAGATGACAGGACAGATAAAAAGTGAGAGATAAAGACGAAGATGTAGGAAGAGAGAGATAGGAAAAGGCGACTGCCGATTTCCCCTGGGTGGGTCAGCCCAGGGGTACCGTCTACATGAATCCGGGGCCAAAGGGGTGTGTTGCCTCTGCCGGGGGGCCTTAACGGTCCAATCACCCAGCGTCGGCTCAACCCCCAGGATCCCCTTTTCCCCGGACACGGCAAAGCCACGCACGGCTAGGCGTGGGAGGGAGTAGAAACTCCCCCGTTAGCTCGGGTCCGTGGTGTCGCTACACACCAAACGCCTGCTTTAACAGGCGCCCCTGCGGGGAGCTGCTTTTGTTTGTCAGTTACATTTTAACACATGATGACCTTATTGGGCTGCCTTACGAAAACAACGCTTTAAACCAGATATGCCTGAGTAGCTCACGCTCATGCTTTTCATGAAAATAAAAATAAATGTGGGGTGAAGACAGCAATGTGCAGGTCGCGGGCCACTTGTTTGAGGTCACTGATATATTTTACGAATGGGTCCAAGTGCAGCCATACTGTGCTGTTAACATTTGTGTCTTGCAGCCTTAACAAATAAACTAAAAATATTATGGTAGACACATTCACACGAAAACGGCAGGATTGGTACATATAATGTTTCATAACCCCGCGGCGCTGGCCACTTTCCTGTCGGGAATGCTATGCCACACTGATAACGCGCGCGCCGTTCGCGACCGCGAACTACCGGAGCCGTGGGGATAGCGCGAGGAAAGTACTCGAAGTAGATGACGATTTATTGTTGTGTAGCAGAGACACTCTTGTCAATTTTTTTGGAGTGAATAACCACATATGGTGTAGCCAAGATAAATACCCATACAAAGTAAACCCTTGCCGCCAGAAAAAAAAATATGAGCGAACAGAAAAGAGGAGTGGATAGGAAAAATTGAAAGTAACAGAAGATGAACACGTGAGAACATATAGACAAAAAATGCAACTGCCCATTTTCCCTTGTTTGGTCAGCACAAGGGTGTCGTTTATGCGAAGCAACAGACGAAGAGGCACGTTGCCTTTTCCGGGAGCCCTCAAAGGTGCTAGCTACCAGCATCGGTTCAATCCCCAGAGTCTCTCTGTTCCCTGGCCCCGCCGTGGTTGTCTTGTGGCTAAGGTACTCGGCTGCTGACCCGCAGGTCGCGGGGTCGAATCCCAGCTGCGGCGGTTGCATTTCTGATGGAGGCGGAAATGTTGGAGGCCCGTGTGCTCAGATTTGGGTGCACGTCAAAAAACCCAAGGTGGTCGAAATTCCGGGAGCCCTCCACTATGGCGTCTCTCATAATCATATGGTGGTTTAGGGACGTTAAACCCCACATATCCATCTCTTTTCCCTGACACAGCTAAGCAACGCATGGCGAGGCGTCGGCGGGTGTCCTAGCTCGGGTCCATGATGGCACTACTGACCACATTTCTGTCGAATAAGACGTCCCTGCAGAGGCATGATCTTTTGAGAACTTACAAATGTTTTCGTATCGACGATGTAGGGGTGATGTCACCCATGTAAGGTCGTTTGCGCGCGCGCGGTAGGCCACATTTAGGTTCAACAGCCACCGAGCTGGAGGTGGCGCTGCGGTCGAGCGGAATCGTCATCAACATTATGGTAGTAGTGGAAGGCCCAGAAACGCCACCCAGCGGCGAGGCTGGGTAATAATAATAACTGTTAGGGGTTAACGTCTCGAAACCACCATATGATGATGAGAGACGCCGAAATGGAGAGCTCCGGAAATTTTGACCCCCTGGTGTTCACTAACAAGCACAAGTATTTTCGCCTCCACCGGAAATGGGGCCGCCACGGCTGGGACTCGATCTCGCGACCTGCAGGTCAGCAGCCGAATGCCTTAGCCACCAGACCACCATGGCAAGTGACGACGCAAGGTGGCAGCGCATAAAATATTGGAGAGTATCTTTGACATTGTGGCGGCGACCGTGATTGGCGTCTACCACGGTGGGTCCGCAGGAGTCGGCAACCGCGGGTCGGCTCGCGTGGACCCATCGTGTTGCGTCGTATCTCCGAGACGCCACGTCCGTAGTACCTTTGTTACGAGTGACGTTCGTTTCACCTTGTTGTTGTTTGTTTGAGCGTAGTATTGGTAATGTTGTACAAAGTTGTTCAGCGTGTCTCTAGGAACGTGTTCAATTTGGCCGGCGATATCGTCGTTTGTAAAAGTAGTTGAGCGAATGTACACGAAGTTTGGTTCGACCACTTCTGCTGCGTCCATGCGTTCCGAGGCCGGCATTTCTTTTCGAGACCCCAAAACGTATAAAACATAGCCCCATCATGTTCACAACACTATGTTTCTTGAGTGAAAAATCTAATCGACCATGAACATGTATGACAGCCATTTAACATCGCAGAGCCAGTTTATTTCGGCAAGGGTGCACGTTGATACTTCTTGGGTGTATGCAACTGTCCAAGCCGCTTTCTGCTGCGAACGTCATCCAGATAACTCAACCTGCCAAGAAAAAAGAACCACATGGAGTTCTATATCGCAACAGTAAAGAAGGAAAAGAACACAAATAGCAGCAAGAACAATAATAAGTTACAAAAATACACGCAATGATTTCGGTTTAATGATATGCAAATGCTTCTCGATACTATTAGAAAAGGTTCTTCAGCAGCCACTCGTTGTGTTAAAAGTATTTCATACTCTGAAAGTCATTTTGTACCTGTGAGGTTGAAAATTTACCTCTGCAGTAGAACAGGACATACTAAAGGAAGCTCGCGTTTTTCATTAGTCTAGCACGTGCACCGCCGTAAAATGCAGACACACCATGTATATTTAGAGTACGCCTACCTTTCTGTAAAAACATTCGCACGCTTAAGGATCAATCTTGTTCTGAAACAGTAATCATCGCCTATATAGCTTGTGCGCCTTTCTTTCTGCCATGCTCCGTGCCCAGTCCGTGTATATCATGAAATGAATGCGCATTGTAGTCGTTACGTGTATTATTTTACGGAAATATACCACGCGATAGTTGGTCGAGAAAGAAGTCAAGCAAGACAACCAACGATTAATTCTTGGGAAGCTTAAACTTTTTCGGTTGAACGTTTACGATTCACTCACGGAGGCAGGCGATCTCGCACTCTCTCACGGTTTCGTATCGGTTCTGGTTGCCGCCGCAGCCTCCGTAGATGAACTGCTTGCATTCGCCGGCAGTCACGTCGAAATACCAGCGAACAAAGGAAGCCTTGCACAGACCGATTACAGGTGCCGGTCGGCAGCCCGCTTCGAAGTCCACGCCATGGTACCAGTCCTTGACGTCCACCTGTGCCGAGGCCATTGCTGCGAAAGACGTAACGAAAGCGAAACCGTTGAGTACAGTACAGGAGGACAGGTTCTGCCAGACGCTAACTTCCAGCTAAGCTTTGTGTAAACGACCACTAAAAAGGGGAGTGGGAGCGCATGCGTCGTAACAAACTGAACTCGCATAAAAAACACTGAAAAGTTTCTGATATGTTAATGCCTTGCGAAATCGCGTAGTCCTTAGTCTGTATGGCAGTGCTAACGTGCCACGATTCGAAAACATTTCTGCGTAGCTAGTAGCTAGATGGCACACAAACGAATATAAGCAGAGTGAGCAATATAGATCTTGCATACTGAAACAGCCGCATGCCGACCACCAGGGTAACACTATTGAGGCACTTACCGTACAAACAATTGGTGGTATGTATACTAGAACACGTTAGTACAGATCATGGCGCTCGTATACCGTGCACTGAGTCATCTTTGTCCCTGTCTTGCTTCTCCGTGTTCTCCACATTGAGTTACAGATCAGCTTGCCTAAATCAATATCCCGCTTAATGTGATAAAATCTGTCACAATCACAAATAAACTTTTATCGCCAAATTAAAACTTGAAAAAAAAATTCTTGATCCAGCACGTTACGTTAAAATTGCACACAGCTCGGATAGTTGGTATGAATTGACGATATACAAAAAGGAATACAAGACGGAGGTATAAGGACGACACAAACGACATTTGTGTTGCGCTGACTTTTTTCTTGCGTTCACATTTACATGCCTACAGCATTTCATCAAGAACATGACGTCAGCAGGAGCTCGCTCGAAAATCGGTGCGTTTCACCGCAAGCAATACGAGGACTAATTTCCCCGAGTTTAGCCTTTCTTGCCCACTACGCATGATAAGTGGAACTCATTCTAGTGTTCCTTGGTTGAAGTTGAGAATTTGGGACATGTCCCCGTGGATAACAGACATAAAGATAAAATAGCAAAACTCTGTTAAGCATTCAACATTTCACTGCATTTAATCTTGTAAATGATTTAGCCCATCCACGCTAATTTACGCGATGAAAAAAGCAATGCGATCTACTAAAGCATTTTAATGAAAACTGACAAAACGTGGTGGTGTTGACCGGGGAACCCTGGTGCACCGTTTCGTCCAACCATCCTAGCGCCTGGGCACGGACCAGTGCAATTTGTAGAAGATGCTAGAAGTCCTCCTTGTATAGTGACGCGCTAATCATATTTTAAAAATTTGAATAACAATTACTACAGGCAAACACTATGATCTAAGCCTGCAGTACGTGTAAGCCAACGCACAGGACGTTTTATGGCACTGTAATTAAATTCTTTTTATCTTAATGGTCCTAGCGCGCTGTATGACGCGGACATGCAGATGTCACTCCAAGAAAAAAAAGAAAACAAAAAAGATGAAAAAACGTCAAGGAGGAATGTGTCGAACAATGAGCATCACTTCCGCATCGTGTTTGACAGGTATTTTGACGCAACTGCTCGACCATTGATTTAATTTTGCAATAAGTTACAACGTGAAAATAAGTGAAAGCTCCGCATCTCGAACTATGGCGCGCTTGCCACTGATCTGTGCAAGAGTCGGGCTAAGTACTTCCAGTTGAAACAGTAGGTACTTTTCACTAGTTAATGTAAGTGTGCGTGCATTAAGTAAGGTTCGTCGTTCGTATATTTGATATCTTACGTTTGTCTAGCCAGTCTTGTCAGAATGTTTCCTAAAACTTGGCACTAAGTCCAAGCTTTCAACCCAAACCTAGCGACACGAATATGTGTCTGTAAGGAGAAGTCACCAATTCTAAATACGTGAAAGGTGTTGTCGTCACGGAAATGAGCCAATGCGATTAACAGAGCGTCTGCGCAATTCTTTTCATGGGTGCGACAGCGACGGCAATAGGTGGAGCTTATGTTGCCAATACTAAACTTGTAGTCGACTACAGTTCCTGGTATTGCAACGCTGACGGAAGCGCATCCAGACAGAAACATCGTCGCGATGGTGAACAATAACGAAACCCCCCCGTACAGTCTCTTATATATACACTACATGGAACTCTGGCGCTAGTGTCGAAAGGAGCTGCACCGTACAGCGCTTCAGCCAACATGGAAATGATGGGTATAGTGCACGAATGTGTACAAACTTCGTACTTTCTGCTCCATTTGGCTTTACATGGCTTCAAGCTGCTTTGTCATGAGACGATCATCAGCAAATGTTCAACAGTTGCACCTCACCCCATTAGCCTTTTAGACTCACCAATTCAAAGTGTCCCGCGAAGTTCCCAACGTTTCACCCTTTTATTTGAAACAAGCCCGAAACGCAACAATAAACAAAGCCACAAATGTGTTTGAAGCCCGCGAGCACGAAGACTAAGCCAATCTGTGTACTACGCATCATTCATATGGTTACTGAACGATCGCAGCGCCAGAGTCCCCTGTATTGATTGGTATGTGGGATTTAACGTCCCAAAATGACCATATGATTGTGAGACACGTCGTAGTGAAGGGCTCCGGAAATTTCCACCGCCTGGGGTTCTTTAACGTGCACCCAAATCTAAGCACACGGGCTCACAGCATTTCCGTCTCCATCGGAAATGCAGCCGCTGCAGCCGGGATCTGATCCCGTGACCTGCGGGTCAGCAGCCGAGCACCTTAGCCACTAGACCACCGCGGCGCGGCAGAGTCCCCTCTACATAATTTTATGAAACTTTGTAGGCCTTTTCAAGCTGATGAATCGTCGAACCGGCTTACCAGAAAAGACGATGGCCAGAAGGTAAAAAATCGTGGCAGCATTCATTCTTAAATGCGTTCGGCTCACTTGAAACAAGCTCCCACAACAACGTCGCCTGACGTATAGACAGCGACGACACCTGAAAAGCTTTTATACACCAAGAAAACGTGAGAGCGGTGGAACTCAACGCAGCTGCGACTCACGGACTGCCGATAATGCACGCGTGGGTCAATGATCCGGATTGAGGCCGGTAACAAACTGCAAAAGCTGATGGGAATGGGGTATCTGACTAGGAAGGAAAGATAAGCGATTCGCAGCTTTAGGTTGAACAGGTGCGTGACCGCAAATAAGTAAGGGTGAATGCGAAGCGTTAACTCGTATTTGGATAATACACTATCACGAAAATACAATGGTAGTCAGGTACCTGACGCTTTCCCTGCAGAGAAACGCTACGTCGAGGCGGAAATGCTCTACTGCTGCTAAATTCTCACGGAAAGACATAGTTACACAACTTGTCAATTAGCTTTTTTTTTAATTTCTTGAGATATTTCACGTTTACGGGGGAAAGTTGCGAGACGCCACATAACGTTTCATGTAAATTTTAAATAGATAGGCAGGAAATTGCACGCAGCGCACAGATATTCGGCTTCTAAATTTAGCCCTCCGATTCAGGAGATGTCAGAAGTGGGCAAGCACTCAAGGCAGCCGCTCTGCTACGTTAGATCAGGACTTCCCGAGGCTATAATAATTGACGAACACTGAATTAAGGCGGCCCGCGGCATTACTGTGTCGTGGGAAGCAGCAAGTCGTCTCATTTGTGACAGCGGATCGCCTTAATTACGTCTGAACGGCCACAGTGGTAAGACGGTAAGTTGGGCCAGTTGGTTCTCTTTTGCTCCTTTCCTGTCCAGTATTTTTTCTGGTGTTGCGCTGTAAGTAAGTTCACGATAGCCACAGTGGTCTGTGTATTGCCTGCTATATGCTTATGGTGCGGGCTGGGGATTTTTTTCTTCCTACCTCACAATAAAGAATATAGTGGTTATGGTAATCCACTGCTAACCCGAAGGTCACAGGATTAACCTGATTTCTGTAGCACATACCCCATTACAATTGGTGTTGCCACGGCGGCGAACGAGAAAGCCTCGACTTATAACAGCTCCGCGTTATTTGAAGGTCGCAGGTTCAGGTCCTGTTAGTGGCAAGTTACTTTTTCGTCCACTTTCCTTTCTTTTAGATAATTTACATACAATTACATCTTATAATATCCCCTTCACTTTCTCTCGCATTATTGTCTGTTAGTTCTCGTTAATGTTGTGTCAAAGAAAGACTGGCCCTTGATTTACCCTTTCTTCCGCTGTCGAAATAATTTGTTTTCACGCGCGCCACCCTGTAATACGAACATGCAAAAATCGAAGCCTTGCTGCACGCAGGTTTCGGTACTCAGAACCGACGCGATTGAAGGTGTGATGCCGCGGTGTGAGACCACGCGCAAGTGATGAATGAAGATGAAGAGCCTGCAAAAAATAAATCTAAAAGGCTATGCAGTGATTCAATCACACCCTAGTTTTTATACGGGCGATGTTTGTATCAAACACATGGTTAAACAGATTGATACACGGATTTCAGAAGTTTTAGATGTCAAGCCACGATGTGACTGTGAGCGTAGAGGGGAACTTTCAGTATGACGTGAGGGTATGTCCCGTAAATAAGTAGCTTAATATATGAGCATGCAGAGAGGCAATCGCGAAGCCTTCCGAACATTGCGACGCGATCTGCGCCTCGCGTTACAGCTTTCGTGGGTGAAAAACAAAGCAAGAAACGGGTGTGGCAATATTATTAAAAAAAATTAACGCGCACGCACAAAACATCATTTGGGGGAAAACGCACTTGTAACCCTACCGCCGAGTTTCCAATCGTAGTGGATTACATCGCACTGTGTAGACGCTGGGAGCCACAGCTGTTAAGTTACTGGTACTGTTCAGCCATACCATTGTTTAAGATCTGTGATTACCCAAGTTCGAACATTTGGGGCAAATGATCAAAGTATATGTTTTGTCTTTTCTTGAATACAGGCGTAGCTCCGTTGATGACGATTGTGGGTTTTGGCGCAAGGGAATAGGCGACCAATGAACGCCATATATTTTCACTTAGCTTTATCGAAGTGGGTTCTCCCCTAACAGGCGTCACTCAATGTTCTCATTATACATCTATCTGGTCTCTTGCTAAACTCCTCAGCGAATGGTCTGTAGTGGGCACAGGCCAACAAAATTTCAGGGAGAAGAGGTTCCTAGCCACCGCCCACCGTTCTGTTCGGGACCAGGAACAAGTGCCGCACGCAGCGTTAAAAGACAGCCACCAAGCTGAAGTATCGGATAAAGTCAGTGTCTAGAAACGCAGCCGTGAAGGAAGATACGGCTAGCCCGGTCAGGTATGCAGCTCATCAGCCAGGACAGCAAGATCTCCGATCAGTCGCCGGCTTCCAACTCGCGCGGTGGCGGCTTCATTGGCGATCAGGTGGCGGTCAGGCAAAGCTCGAACCCCACCGTGCTCGTGGTGTCCACCTTCCTCGGCGTCGCGTTATCCGCTGCTCTGCTCGGTCTCCTGCTCCTCGCTACTTTCGGCCGGCCGAGCGTGAGCCGGTCTTCCGAGAACACCAGCTCCTTCTGCTGCCCCGATGAGGCCCGCGCCGTGCTGCGAGGCGTCAACGCCAGCGTCGATCCCTGCGAAGACTTCTACGGCTACGTCTGCTCCATGGCCGACGGTGGCACCAGAGTCCGCCTCTCGCCGACAGTCCGCGTCGCCGTAATGCGAAGGCGTCTAGAACTGGCCGCCGTCGGGGCCGGGACGACAGCGGCCGGCCGGATGCTTGCCTCTATCAAGAAACACCTCCTGGAAAAAGAGGAACCTCTGCAAAAAGACATCGCAGATTTTGTGGCTGCCATCCTAGCCACGGGACTCACGAACGAACGCATGAACTCCTCCAGTATGGTCCGCTTCTTCGCTCAGCTCAGCTTCAGGTACGGCATGCCTGGAGTTCTGTCGTTCTTCGTGCCCCAAGTAGGCACCACTCTCGTTATTGAAAGGAATGACCACTGCTTTCTAGATGACGACCACAGCTTCGTCGAACCAGCCGTTTACAACGTCAACGGTGCACTCAAGACATCCGTCACAGTCGATCAGCTAGCACAGCTCGAAAAACGCCTGCCCGCAAGGCAGCACATCAATGCTTCACACACTCATTCCCAAGCGCTTGCCATTTCTCCTTTCTCTGCCCTCTCCAAAGGTGACTGGGCTGTCATCGTGGATGATATCATCAAGCCAGTGTACTCGAACCTAACCGATACAGCCACGCGGGCAGAAGAGAGACTAAGCGACGTCTTGAGCTTCTTGGTCGACGCATCGCGCCAGCCTACGGCGATCGCCTACGCGATAGTGTGCACGGCTGTGAAGAGTCTCGAGAAGATCGACAACGGCGCGATTGGTCTGCGTGAGCACCCGCAGCACATTTCGTGCAAGTCACTCGGCATCGGCGAAATTGAGGACAGAATCGTAATGGACGCGGTGCACAGCGGCGGTATGGATGACTACATCCGAGCCACGTTCGCCAAGACCCGTACCAACGTTATCCACCGCGCTAAAGGGCATCCGATGTTCTACGGTACGCCCGGGCAAGACCTCGTTGGTGCACTGGAGAGGCTCAAGATGATGCTTCCGGATGAAATAACCTCTGATATTCCAGTTCCGGACTTGTCGGAAACGTTCGCGCACAACTTGTTCGCCACCCGGTCTTACGGCTTTGACGTCCGAAAAGCGAAGGTGGCGCGAAAAGTGCCTAGCTCCGAGGACCTCTTATCGCCATCGCTAGTGAGGTATGGCGACGTCATCTACGTCCCAACGAACATGTACGCCCTGCTCCATCACAAGGTCCACAATACCATGGCTCTGAATGTTCCTACATTGGCGATGGAGATGGCCAATGAAATGTGGTCTTTCCTCCTGGAACGCCCCTGGTCTCCGAAAACACGCGAAAATATCGAGGTGCGCCTTGAGTGCTTTGCGGATCGATACCTCAATGGGTCCAAGTACCAAGCCACAACCACAAACGCATTGGCAGTGGTGTCGGCGATCGATGCCACTATGACGGCGCGCTCGAACACCATTGGAAAAGTGGATGGCACGAAAATGTCTATTGGACGGCTCGCGTACATCACGTGGGTGTACGACAGGTGCGCGAGCTTCCTGGAAGCGACGCCGCACTTGGACGCCAACGTTGTCCTGAGGAATTCGCCGGCTTTTGTGAAAACTTTCGAATGCCCCGCGGGCTCATATATGACTCAGCGAATATGCTGCATCAATTCCTGTTAAGAAATGACTGTTTGCCAAAATGTGCCCTATAGGGTCACTCTGGGCACCTTTAAATAAGAGTTAAATGTTGAGAATTTTTCTTGTAAGAAAATGTAGTGCATTACTGTGCCTTATGAATAACTCATTCGTTGCTATATATATGTGCCTGAGAACAACGTTGGTTCTATAATTGTATTACAGTGGTTTAACGTCGCAGCCCAACGACGAGCGAGTCATATTGGGTCTAGCAGCGCGAAATTTACTAAGGCTATACCGTACATAAGGAGGTGGCACAGAAGGCAAAGGTAGAAGGAGGAACGGGTAGACGACACGGGTGCTAACTTTAAACTACATCTTAAAGAAATTCCCAACTCTTTGACAGTTAACAGTCATGATCCCAAAAGTACATCGCATTGAACGTCTCATGCCGCTCCCATGACGTTGTGGTATAACAGCACGGAAGAACAGCTTAGTGGGCCCTTGAACTAAAAATGAATACTTCGATATTTCAAAAATTACTGCCCACATCTTCCCACGGGGGGAACTCGCGTACATGCGTCGCAGAGTTGTGGGGGTAAAGGTGAATGTTGTGTAATTGATTATGGTTTGGGAGATCCTAATCGTTATTTTGTCTTTATTATTCTTATTTATTATTCGCTCTATTGCGGCAACCATAAACGGGGCCTTGAGCCCCCAAATGAGGATGGAGCTTCTAGGGGCTGCGCTCTCAATACGAAAAAAAAAAACAGTCCCAAAAGTGTACCTGGAGCGGCCATGTTCTTTTT